GGCTTCAGTTGTTGTTGAGGCTTCAGTTGTTGTTGAGGCTTCAGTTGTTGTTGAGGCTTCAGTTGTTGTTGAGGCTTTACTTGTTGTTGAGGCTTCACTGGTTGTTGAGGCTTCAGTTGTCGTTGAGGCCTCAGTTGTCGTTGAGGCTTCAGTTGTTGTTGAGGCTTCACTTGTTGTTGAGGCTTCACTTGTTGTTGTTAAGGCTTCAGTTGTTGTTGAGGCTTCAGTCGTTGTTGAGGCTTCAGTTGTTGTTGAGGCTTCAGCTTCAGTTGTTGTTGGGGCTTCAGTTGTTGTTGAGGCTTCAGTTGTTGTTGAGGCCTCAGTTGTCGTTGAGGCTTCAGTTGTTGTTGAGGCTTCACTTGTTGTTGAGGCTTCACTTGTTGTTGAGGCTTCAGTTGTTGTTGCTGCTGTTGTTGTAACAGCCTCACAATTAAGACCACTGTCAATGCTTCCTCCTGGACCATTGTATACTTCCAAACAATCAGGACATTTCCATCTTGGGTTACAATGACAGTTGCCGTTTTCATTGCAGACCTATTTAGAAAGAGAGTGAAATGATACAAGAAGGAAAAAATAAGAGGTATAGCAAAGATAAGCCTATAACTTTAATTTGGACACAATAGATAATCTTGGGAAACTTATCTAAAAGTTTCAACGATTATCACCAACCAATATAGAAATGAATTCAATTTACCCCATTCCCGCTACAGTTGTTCGCGCATGTTGGTTGTCCAGCATAAACAACTGAAAGTGACATACATTCGTTGTTTTGACAAACCTAAACAAGAAGCAAGCGAGTTAGTGACATTCTTTTATTGGTATATTCTGGCATAAAAATGCAGAATTATGTTTTCCATTCACCTTTGAACATTGGATCCCAATTTACAAAAATGATATTCGTTGGCGCAGCTTAATAACTATAGCTAAACAGTTAAACTACCTAAAATGTTGCCCCCCCCCCCCTTTGCCATAGTTTCGGCAGCTGTTAGATCGTCTTCGTATGCTAGCGTAAATATACAGAATACAATTTAACATTGCACTGTACGTGCTGGATGTATATTTGAAAGAAGACAATATATTTGTCTAAAGGCATACTAACCATTTCACTCCCACATTTTGTTCCATCCAATACAGTAGCCCGTTCTAGTAAACCTGGAGCCTGGTAGATCTGTGCAGACCTTAAGAGATCAATTTAGAGCACATACAGTTTTGGTTTAATAATTTACTTGTCTGGAAAATATAAAGAGAATGAAGGACCTTCACTCAAAACGTCGAAATTTGAAGTAGTTAGATCAGTCCTTTATTACATTATGAAGGCTTGTGAGTTTCATGTGTTATTTCGTAATCCGAAAATCACCACTGGATGGATGTCAAGCCGGTTCGAGCAGTGATAAAATAATACGCACTTAATATCTGCCCCCGAGGGAAATAGTTTTCTTTTTTCCCGAGTTTTCTGAGCGATCAACAATTTAGTTTCACTTGTTGCCCAGCAGGATACATGCATTTATCTATATCCACGTGACTACAAATCAGACAATCACGTTTTGTTTAAACACTACCCATATAACAAATACATGTTATTTATCTGCTGGGTGTTCCGTGCTGGAAAATATTTCCCCGTAACGTTGTCTCAGAATTGTACCTCGATCTTCGGTTTCGGGCCAAGTACGAGCCGAGCTTAACGGTGAACAACGTCATTACTAAAAAATTCCAATCGCAGGTCACAACCGCAATTTTTTCTTGCGGCAAACATTTTGTTCATCAATCTCTGCCAAAAAGACGTCAATATGACGTCTGGGAGGGAGGTTGTTTCAGGTGTTTACATTTTGCAAGTATAGTATTATCGTGAAACGACCAGAAAGAAAAGCTTACCATCTTAATTGTCCTTTTAGTGAAAAAGCGTTGATTAAATCAAATGCATTCACCTGTATATGTGTTCTTGATCGGCAAAGCAACATGCACGAACCTATCATTTGACTTCTGCTACCGTGCCACCATAAAGGGACCATTAAATAATTAGATGCGTGAAATCTATCCGATTAACCAATCAGATGCACAAAGTGCAAGTGAGAAGTAGCAGTATAGCGGTTGTAGAAGTCTGTGGTTTGGTGGCTGCTGTAGTCCTGCAAGTCAGGTGAGGGCAACTGAAGCTTTGGCGCCCATTCTTATAATTTTCCCAAACTTTATAAGTACTATCCTTTTTATTGAAACCATATGCATTTTTGCCAGTTTTCTCGAATTCTGCCATTCGTGTTTATCTTTCAACTTTTCAAATTTTGCCAGCCTCGTTATAAAACAAACAGCACTGATCTCAACTTCAAACCATATGCATTTTTGCCAGTTTTCTCGAGTTTTGGCATTCGTGTTTATCTTTCAACTTTTCAAATTTTGCCAGCCTCGTTATGATACAAACACTAGCACTGATCTCAATTGATTTCGCAACACTGAAATTTAATTTTACATATGCTAGAAAATAAACCGCGCGTTATTTACCGGCAGCGTCGATCCGTATGGGGAAATTGAGAGGGCAAAATTATTTTGTTACTCATGTACGTAAGTCAACATTTCTGACTTTCTCTTCAACCGTATCGTACCAAAGTGCAGCGTATTTCTTTGTTTCCTGAGCGGAACGGAGTAAAACTAATGACTGACATAAAAGATAATGTTACGATACGGTTGAAGTGAAAAAAAGGCCTTTAAAAAACAATTATTTGCGATACTAGCTATAGAAGAACATTAGTTTTTCTTTATATGGAACTTACCAACAAGTGATTGCTCCGCTGTTTAAAGTACCTTTAGTCGCACGATAACCAAAGCCAAAATTTTTTGGTGTTATTGTGGTGGTATTACCAATGCACCATAATTTACCACACTGAACATTCCTGTAAAACATTAGAGTAGTATAGAGTCATCCGTACGACGTCAAGATATAAAGGATATTAGACGGTTGCAAGGAGATATGGATTTTATGTTCGAGTGGAAAAAACAATATTTTACGAACAAGCGCAGCGAGTGAGTAAAATATTGTTTCTAACACGAGAAGATAACAGTCATATCTTCAAACAACCGAGTAATGTTCTGTTTATTATATAGTCCAAGCAAAAAATTGTGAAATTTCACGCTCAAAATCAAATTGGAAAAAGTCACGTGATCTATATCTTCACTAGTAGTGAAGATATAGAAAATATCTCACTGTGTGTTTTTCAGTATCTCACTCTGTACTATATAATATAGAGAGTGAGATACTGAAGAGAGACTACTATATAACAAATTATATAGGCTACTATAAAATAAATAGAATACATGGGTGCGCGGAAATACCAGATTGATTGTTCAACACGAGAAATAAATCTGGCATTTCCATTTTCACTAGCTCGTGAGATATCATGTTCAACACTCGAAATAAATCTGGTACTTCCGCGCACCCATGTATTATTCTCTATAGTATATTAATTGAACAACAAAATTACTAAAATTAACAATTTTAAACCGGATTTTGTATTAGGACCTAAGTAGTATGTACATTACTGGAAGTCTGGAACCACTGAGTATTTTAATTACAAAATGGAAAACAGTGGTAGCTCCGAAAATGAACATTTTTAAATATCCTTCCATAAGACGTATGTATCTTCACTTACAAAATTAACTGTTCTTCACTTAGAAATTTAACATCCTTTCATATGATGTATGTGTCGTATGTACATCTTCGCATACAAAATTAATATCCTTATTTCGTAACCTAACATCATCCTTGATGACGATGATGATGGCTGTGATTAAAAATGTTCATTTTCTAAGTTACCATTGTTGAGTTGTATATTGATATAGATTAATTGTATATTATACGATAAATGGTGAAATGTAGATGAAATGTCAACCTCACTTACTCTGGTGCACAAGCCATATATGTAGTTCTTGATGTTCTTTTGCAGTAACCATGCACATCATTACGTAGGTTGATCGTCGCATAGCAACGATCATCGGCTTTAAAAGCACCTTTATCAGAAAATACATTTCAAATTGAAGATTGTGAGTTCAGAACCAGGAATAACATCAAACAGAATGTAGTTCATTCTTTTAAAATTCCGTTCCAGTGTCTTTATACAAAGATGCATCATGTCATCACTCAGTAGGGTAAAGATATTCTTGTACAAAATAGTAATTTTGTCTCTATTCAACGCGGAATTCATAAAGCACGTAGCTAAACCTTATATCAAGTTAAAAAATAAATCTTTTAAGATTTCTTTTTTAACTTGATAAGGTTTACGCGCTTTAGTTAAAAATTAAAACTAGGTACATACTTTCAACCCACAATTCATTACATTGTTCATCATACGTTCTACATTCTCCTTCATGACAATATCCCTAGAAAAGAAGACAATTTAGAAGTTATATAAAGCATGTAGAAAACTCAGCATGCTTGTTCCAGTAAATAACAATCATGTAGTTGACATGTAGTCATGCAGGTTCAAACAATAAAAATTGTAAGCTTGTATCTCACCCTATCATTATTACAGGATAAGCCATTCACTGTCACCAGATCAGCAGGACACTAAAGTTTGTGATTAATTATATAACGTTATGAAGTTAAGCTCTTTGGACAGACGCACGGAATTACGTTACACGTGACGTAACTTAAGAGCCCTTAAGGTAGCCAATAGCATTCCCTTATTTGTATAATTATAGACCATGTACGCGTGATATTTGTAAACTTTCGACTTTTTCAAATTTCTAAATGTTTGCCGTGGATAAAAAGTAGGCTATTTATCTGTTTAATTCGGGGGATTTCTTTTTATTATATATGAAACATGCAAATAGATATAAGATTTTGCCATTGTCTGTTCAGTTATAGATACACAGTATGACATCATAATGTGGGAAGAACAAAAAAGTTACCCACTCCGCGCCTCGGCGAAATCCTATCTATTTGTTAAATTGTTTATAAAAATTACATGACATGTGCACCATCTGTACAACCCGGCATTATCTCATCATTTATCGGGCGAAGTTTTCATGCAGGTTATACCGCGGATATCCAATAATCTAACGCCGATGGGACTGGTAGTGTATACCAAATTTAAATTAAATAAATGAAATTTTGACAATATACCATCGTAACGCATCTACACTTACCACTTCACTAGTCCCATTGCAAAACTCTGGAACATCGCACAAGTTTACAGCATCACGGCAAGCTGTTCCTCTGGCGATAAACTACATGGAAAAACACAAAATAGTTAATAAAGTTTTTTTAAAGGCATAATTTTATTGTTAACAGTACTACTCCTTACCTGACAGTCACTGCAGCAAGCCCCGTCTGCACATTGTGCTCCTTCATTCAGCGTACATAAAGTATAATTGCAGCATGTATCGCCAATTCGTTCGCAGTCCTGAAAAATATTGTCAAATACCAAATCAGTATTGTAGTACTCCATTAATATATCCGTCTAGCCCTGAGGTAGCTCATAATTATGTTGTTTATATGGTTTTATCATTATCGTTTTAGCAACTACTCTCTGTTATTTTCAACCAAACTGAACAACATTCATTTTCGTAATTTCGTCCACAGGACTTAACTATACGCAGCATTCCTAAAAACCTTTGATTTTCCTGGTCCAGTGCTCTGGAATCTGGACGGAGCACAATGCATTACAATTTCCTGATGGTGTCGCTTTTGATAAAATGTTATTTTTACTGAAAGTCAGCACTCAGTCACCTCTTGTGTACCACAGTCACATTCTTCTCCATCCTCCAGAAAACCATTGCCACAGGCTACGGGTATTGCCAACTGAATTAAAATAATAGAACAGAACTCATTCACAAGCTGTTTATCTGTTTTCCCTATGTATGGAGATCCAGTAGAACTAGAAACATCCAGTATTAATGTACACAATTCATTGCATTCTGATTGTAGAATTCAAGCGTGGACCATTACGCAACTGATCACGGTTGGAAAATGAAAATAAAGAAAACAAAAAATACAAGACAAATATTCATTGGGGTGCATGGGGGAGATTTTTTGTTAGAAAAATCATTCCTGAAAAACTAAAAAGACTAAAAAATATAATCGGAAAGATTTTTAACATACACCGAAATTATATAATCAGACAACTGCATAACATAGGAAAAAATCTAATTTTCCAATTAGTGGATTTTGGAGAGTTTTTTTTTTCAATTTTAATTTTAATATTCACATTTACCATATCGAAACAATTCATATAGTTGTTTGTAATGTTACTGTAAGTGTATATCCACACTCAGAGTAACATTACAAACATCATATTCACCTGAGTACACAACACCAACACAGAAAAAATAATTCATATAGTTATTGAAACATTCATGGTTACCATTATATTGGTCATTATAAATTTCCCTAACGGACTAAATTAGTAGAAACCATCATTATTTAATTATTTAGCCTACAATATATGTTATATTTTTGCTGTATATATAGAAATAGCCAACTTTAATCCCCAAGCAAGGCGGATCTACCGTGGGGTGCAGGAGGTTGCGCACCCCACCTCGTGGAATCTAGCACCTCCCTAGAGAAGTCCAGCACCACGCTAAAAAATCTGCTATTCATTTTCTGCTTTTTGAATAGCGATTGCGGTTAAATATCATGGTTAAATATGTAAACATGTCGAGGTTGTTATACAGGCTACAGCCATATTTTCTAAATATACTGTAACTGTGCTACGCGTACGTCATAAAAAGCCGATATAGACTTCATAAACAAAAGATAATGTTAAACTTAACAGAACGGCGAAAATGCAGATTCGGCCATCTCAAATAATGGTAATGTTGGGATAGTAACGTTGCAGACTGCAGAGGGCAGTAAGGCTCCCTCATGCACCAATCCATGGAAAACCTGTACCACTCCTTGGATATATGCTAGATCCGCCTCTGTCCATGTCTCCAAGTAAACTGGGAAGCAAAAAGAGAGTATTCATAAATGCGGTATTTTTCAACGTACCTTTGTTGGTTGGTTAAACAGACAATGTCCAATATTTCTTAAAAGTAAGGTTTCCAGATCATTTATGCTACATTGGGAGAAATCCTCTGGTGGTATAGGCCTAAAATAGAAAATATTATACAATAATTAAGTTACTCCGTATACTTTGAAAACTAGAAATGTTAACGTTAAAATAGGAGAAAAGCTTGCTTTCCAGTCATATACGTTGATACGCACAGAAAAAAAACACTTCTAAGATGTATATATTAACAACTATACACTAAATCGTATGGAAACTTTCATTTGATTATTTCGTGGGTATCTGCATTATAAATGGTTTTAACTTTTCCGTGAATGAGTGTGTACATACTGCATGCACGTCATACAAAACGCATGACTGGGAAGCAGACTTTATTGCATGACACTCGTCAGCCTGAAATATGGGGCATTTCAACGTTTTGAGTCAGGTCCTTCGTCAGGGAAATTATAGTAGGAAGATGTGATAAACACTCTGTTGTTATGGTGATAAACACACTGTTGTTGTGGTGAAACAACAAAGCAGCGGCTTTGCTGTTTCTTGTTCAAAAACAAACACTTCTGACGAAGGGCCAAGATTCGAATCTCTGATTTGAAATGCCGAAATCCTTTGCTGTTCAGTTGCTTATAGAAAACATACGTTCCGGAAAGTACGTTACTTTGGCTATAGAGCCTGGTTCTCGCGATTGCGTCCACGTACACGAAAACGAGGATCTATAGCCAAGGTGACATATTTCCGGAAGGGTGTATTGATCCGTTTTCGAATCCGACTGCACTAGCTCCATATCAGGCCGGTTCAGTTGTCGGCAGGTTAGAGTGTACCACCAGGATGGTAATAAATTTTCTTTCGATTCATCGACAATGTTTATATAAAAAAATGTTGACCAAACCTATTTTAAAGCGATGATTATTTAACACGCCATTATATACATGGCCAAAAATGCTATATATAGTTGCAGTGTGTAACTGTATTAATCTTTTACAGCGTCTGGCTTAGTGTACGATCTTGGTACTGATTTCAGGAATATATCATGCCCATTTCTTAGGCCAACGAGTGTATAATTAATATAAACAACAACCGTGACGTATATCTCCACCACGGATGACCATGTTTCTAAATTATAATGGTAAAATATATATGTCACCTTATAACGGAGTTCATCACACAATTACCAGACGGACACGATAGGCAACCTTTGTAAAACGAGAAGTATATTTAACATGATGGTATTGCTGCTGAAAGTACATTTTGTCCAGAGGCCGCGGAAGCATTTCGAAAGTGGAGGGGCATTGACCAAAACGGGCACTTTTGTATATGACCAAAATCAATATACAATTACTTTATGGTTTCCGTGTTTGGATGGCCTGATCCAAACACGCGGGAATGTTGCGAGGGTTAAGAAAAGCGAGCGAAAACACGAGCCGAAGGCGAGTGATTTTGCCCGCTTTTCTTAACTCGAGCAACATTCCCAAGTGTTTGGATCATTCCATCCAAACACGGAAACCATAAAGTAATAGTTTTATAAAATAACAACAACACGATAGTCTTCCGTGTTTGGATGGCCTGATCCAAACACGGGTTTCGACCAATCGAATACGCGTTATATACATGTTATTTTATAAACGATTTTATGACCGGTTCACGAGCCGAACGAAAATTTTTGAAAATATGGAGTCTCTATGACTATAACGTCGGAAATGGCCTTTACAGAGTCTTTACTACTGCGAAAAGGGCATTTTCTTTCCAGAAAAAGAGGGCGTTTATTCAAGAAATACTTTTTTCGTTCTTTAAATGGGGCATTTAAGCCCAGAAAAAAGGGCACTTTTTTCACTTCTAAAAAAGTGGGGGAGGGGGCACATGCCCCCATTGCCCCCCGGTTCCGCGGCCCCTGATTTTGTCACGCGTTGAACCAGGGTATTAAGTACTGTATATTCTTTGTTTGCAATGACTGAATGACGTCATTTGGGGATTTCAGTTGACGGGCAGGTATAACAAAAAATGGCTATTTTAACGCATTGATCGAGTTTAGAGACAGTTTGAGACTCAAAAGATGAATACTGTTCAGTTTTCTCTTGCTACAACCATTCTGATAGGAGAAAAATCGTACACAAGTTGTTTGATTTCCCGTCATTTGGATGAAAAGTCACGTGATTGCAAACAAAGAATACGAGCTCTGGTGCAAACATTCCAACCAGGCCACTTCGATTTCTAGATTTACCTCCCGATCTCCCGATTTTAATTTAAGCCTCCCATGACTGATTTTTCAGAAAGACTGGCTTGTCGTTAACAAAATCAGTTTACTGATAAAAACTTTTTCACTAAGTGTAGATATGGATGTTGGCTTTGATAAGAGCAAAGTTGCCAAATTGGAATTTTATCTTGGCTGCTATAAATAAACCGATCTTTGTCGTCAAAAAACACTGTCAAGGTAAGGTTAAAGTTTATACTAAAGAAAAATCCATTTGTTTGGGAAATGGATTCTAATATGTATAAATCATATTTCGTTCGCTTGTACGATTTTTATTATATACCCATTGTCAATTAAAAAGTCGTTTGAAGCTACTCTTCACATTGACCCATAAACTAAAAGTAGTACCGAATTAACAACCGCGTTATGGATTAATTCATTTATATTTACCATCATCATGTTGCAGACCAAAGTTATGTCCCATTTCATGCGCCATGATACCACCAGTGAATGCCGAATTAGAACTGAAATCCTGATAGAAATAAAAACGTTGTAGTCATGTAGTGACTTTTAAAGCGGCCCAATTCAAATTATTTGAGAAGTGGATGATCTTTTGGGACAAACTTGCTTATACGTCTTGACGGATGATCCGTCTCGCAGTGTGCAGACCATATCGTCTCGCAATAAATCAAGCTGACATGGTCTATCACAGGCCTGTGTAACTAGTATATTGTTATTGCAATGTTCTACCTGGTGCGTCAGATGATTGATCTGTCTTCAGTAAACGTTGGAGAACATGTTTCAAATTATTAATTACTGTTTGTCTGCATAACTCGTATAAATCAGCAAACCGGACTCCATGCACTCACCGCATTAATACCAACAGACAAATCTGGAGAACAGATTGTTCCAATATATGCCTTCCCAATTACGTTCTGGTCATACCTCATTTCTCTGTAATAAAGACAGACGTTAACAGTCTTTGTTTTGGTAGAAAAAATATTATGTAGTCAATTATTTCTTAATTAACCTGACTTTTGACCTTAATTCAACGTTATCCAAAGTAAGGGCTCTTTTCTACTCATCGCAAAAAACCATCGCAAGCCTGCCGGAAGTGAACTAAACTAAACTGTCGAGCATTGTGATTGCATGGATGAAAGTGCTCGCAACGAGCTTGCGAGTCCACCATTGAGTGGAAAAGAGCCATAAGACCCTGTTCACATGAACTCGGGCCAACATTTTGTCCTGGACAACTCTTTATCCTGGAACAAAAGTTTTCTCGACGCGTTAATGAAGCAATGCTTCCGTTCCTATAATATGTTGTCCCAGGGCAAGAAATGACCCAGACAGGCACGTTGTGACTTCAGATCACCCTAGTCTGTCCCTGCCCCTGGCCTGATGAAGGCACTGCACTATAGACTGTAGTGTCCAAACGTTGGGTCGTGAATGCAATTCGACTGGGCCATGCATTCTTTAATTTTCTTTTATAAAAAACAGAGTAGCGAGCGAAAACATGACTGAGATTATAATAGATATATATTACTTGTTTATAGACATAATTCTTATTTATTAGTGTAGGAGTTGTTGACAGCTATAATAGCAGATGAAATGTATACGTTTTTAGATGAGAATCCACTTTTATTCGAGGAACAGAAGCGTTGTAGGAAACGTTAGTAGAGGTACTCATCAATCATGACTTTTTGTTTACCAACAAAATGGTTCTTATATGAGGAGAAAGAAGAACCTGGCATGGATAGATTATAGTAAGGCATATAACATGGTTCCCCACTATTATATAGAGTATTTATAAATGCCGGTTTGCTAGTGTCGATAACATTAGATAGTTGTAACTGACAGCATGAAGAAGTGGAGAATGACATTCTTATGGAGATAAGTTAACACCAGGAGAGGGATATTTCAGGCAGAATATTTGTCACCACTATTGTTTGTGGTTTCATTGATGTCCCTTTGTCTAGTCCTTATAGGAGTCTGCTTATAAATTTAGTAGTGGAGAAAAGGTTAACCAGGATATTTTCTGTGTTGCTTTAATGTACTCTGGTGAATATGATGCTTGTGATGTTACTCTGAGTGTATATCCACACTGGGCAAGCTTGAAAAATATGCCTGTCCATGCACGGTGGAAATCGAACCTACGAGCTTTGGAATACCAGCCCAATGCTCTGCCAACTGAGCTACGCGGGCAGGTCGCGGTTCGAGTATGTGATATTTCGGAACAGAATCTAGTTCTTTCGATACCAATGTAATCTAGTAATCATAATATTTTCTGTGTTGGTGTTATTCATGATTACATTACACCAACACAGAAAATATCATGATTACTAGATTACATTGGTATCGAAGGAACTAGATTCTGTTCCGAAATATCATTTACTCGAACCGACCTGACCGCGTAGCTCAGTTGACAGAGCATTGGGCTAGTATTCCAAAGGTCGTAGGTTCGATTCCCACCGTGGACAGGTATATTTTTCAAGCTTGCCCCGTGTGGATATAGTATAAAGATTAGTGCCAAACATAACGCACGCAGGAACGCCAGAAATATATATAAAGTTTCATTAATGCATATTAAACAGTTAGTGGTTAAACTGGTTAACCTTTGATGCTTGTGATGTTACTCTGAGTGTATATCGGATATACACTCAGAGTAACATCACAAGCATCAAAGGTTAACCAGTTTAACCACTAACTGTTTAATATGTATTAATAAAATTTTATATATATTTCTGGCGTTCCTGCGTGCGTTATGCTTGGCACTAATCTTTATAATAGTATGTTTGACTGTTATGTTCCAACAGTCGCGACTGAGTGTGAGAAGAGTAAGATTTGATTGCAGGTTTTCTCTAGGTAGGACTACTACAGTTCCTCGTATGGCCTACTATAACACTGATAGATCGAATAACGAGAGAGGGTGGTTTCCGTGGTTACTGGACTTCTAGGGAGTGTAAGTGGAATTGCTTAATCTAAAAGTAAAAGCCGGTAAAGTTAGTTTATCTTCCCAGTATATATATGAGGGAGGATCGAATCTTGCTATGTGTGTATTGACTATCACAGTTTGTCAACGTTTACGCTGACGGTTAACACGAAGATTTATTCTAAATACGATCACATAAAATCACATACGTTAGCAAATGAGCATTATCATGATTCTTTGTTTCTTCATTAACATCCAAAACATTGTTTTTGTAACTTCTGAAATTGACCAGTGTTGTTGTGGAATTGCTGACCACTGGTACCAAATTTCCATTTGTCCACGTTTCAACCATCACCAAAGCAATACGGATATTATGCACTTTGTATATCTAAAAATACGAATTTATTCTCGTGCATTTATAATGTTAAATATATGTAGGAACATAGTGGTAGGAATGATCAAATCTATGAATATATAGAGATAGTAAGAGATAGTAATTCACCGAGTAGGCTAACTCACCGAGTCAACGACATTAGCTATGCTAATAGCTCTGAGTTTCGTTTGGGCAATATCACTTCCGTAACTTACGAACTGAAAAGAAGATAGTATAGTTGAATCTTATTATGTGAAATAAACACATACTTATATAACAGAAGTAAAATATGTGTAAATTTGACACGGATAGGTTGCATATAGGCTGGTATATACACGTGTAATTTTTTGTATCCAAACTAATGCTCGAAATGATAGTATGACAGCCGGCCTGGTATACACCTTAATAGAGATTTTACGCATGTAAGACGGCGACGTCAGGACGACAGCTAACAAACTGTTTGAAATAAATGTTCAGTATGAAATTTTGTCTTGTATTACTTTAGTATGAGTTTAATACTCAATGTTTAAAACAGAACTTTACCCTTCTCAACGAGCTTCTCGACAATTTTGATCACCTCTCCCGTAGAAAAACTACCTGCATGTCATGCCCTGAAATGCTATAGCGCACTATACGAGACATGAAAATATGTATTTTGCCGTTGTCAACAGAGTTTCAATGACGGCTAAAACCCCAGTAAAGATGAATTGTAAATTTCATGTAAATGTAAATTTCATGCAACATTCACCAGAGATGCTCTTGATTGTTCAATCTCAAAAGTTCAATCCAATAAGGCCGCGAAATAATGCAAAAGACTGATGCAAAAGATGTTCGTGTCAACGCCATGTTACGCTGCCATCTCCCTAACAAATGTCATGACGTGTGCATGACGTGTACAGCTTATAGGAAAATTTGTGGAAACAAAGTCCGATGAAGTTATACATCTGGTATATACTTAATATGTAATTAAGGTAAGAATAAGGGTTAGAATTGGGTTAGGAAAACAATTTGGGTTAGGATCAGTTCATGAGTAGGATTCGATTATAGGCTTGTACAGATAATGAAAACTAGACTGAATCACTTTAATAGTTAAGATGTGGTTATTATATATAGTATGGATATTGTAGTAAAGAAAATCAAGTTAGGTTAAGTCCTATCTGACGGTCCAACAAATAACAGAGTCAGAGTCTGGTTAATTGTTACCTGGCCATAGTCATTTACCAAGATCAGTTCGACAAATTTAGTTTCTGTGAGGAGATCGCGACGAGCCTGGAAAAAATACAAACGTGTTTCTCCACAAATTGCCATCGCACCAACTTTACCAGAAAGTTGAAAAGTTCCACTAATTCTAAACTGCTGTGAGTATAGTGAGTATTCTCTCACATATTTCTGTGACAAGATTACAACTACTGTATAGACAACACATTTCAAAACAGAAATACTTTTCATATTTGAAGTTATTTATACAGTCTTACTCTATGGTGTTCATATAGAAGAAATTGATTCAAGAAGTCGTAGTCGTGATCAGTTTCTGTGTTATTTCTTTCATGGTTCCCTGAAAATAAATGTGATTAAAATGTTGTAAGCAATGAGCATTTTACTGCAATAAGCATTCTGATATATTTCACTATTTTGTTGCATTGCATGGTATTGTATGGTATTATACAGTACTGTATGGTACGATATGCATGATATGGTATGATTTGGGCTGGCTTGGTATAATATAACTTGAAATGATAAGGTTTGTTATGGCATAACATGCTATGGTATGGTATGATACGATACTGTATCATATGGCATGATATTGCAAGCTATGCATGGTATGGTATGCGTATGGGCATAGTATATGGTACAATAAATTATGTGACCATCGCATGGTATCGTATTATTATGTATGGTGGTAAAATACTGTTTTAATTCAACATAACGCCTTACCGCATTTAAATTCATCACCCATAATATCATTAGGAGTATAGACGATGTGAGCAACGCTCTAAAATTTATATAAATGATCACTATCTTTCAACATCAAACACAGCACAGTTCTCACCATGCATGGCTGAAGCGAATTATTATTGTAGTGACAAACTATAAGTACACTACCTTCTTATTTTTGTCAAACAGCGGTTGAATAAAGAATGTCTCGTCATTTATTCTGAAGTAACCACTGCAAAAAGAAAAAATTACTGTACATGTACTTCTAGGCTCCAGCGTAAGACCATGAGGTTTAAGATCAAATCGAGCAGAAAAGTCAACTTACTGGAAACCGTCACATGTAGTCAGAGCCAGATTTGAATTCTTTTCGTTCCGTGCATGACCATGAAAAAAGCAATCGTGTGTTCGCTAAGATAAGAGATAACATATTGATGAAAACCCCTGTTATATAATTAAATAAAATTAACATCAGTTATATACAGAGTAAAATGTTGATAGTCGTTGTATTATTGTATCATTAATATACAGGGTGTATAAAAAAAACTGAACAGATTTGAAATTGCTCTCAATTTCGCGAAACAGCCATTAGTATCTAGTTTTTTATGTATATAGCTTCTTTGGGTACTTATAAGGTAGAATAATGAAAAAAATTTCTCGAACTCAAATTTTGTGAACCAGGGGGATGTGTCTTTTCCAACAAACTAAAAATGGCTTGCGCACGAAATTTAAAAGCTTTAATCGTATTTTGAGTTAATGGATGGAAAATTTATTGGGTTTTTAATTACTGTACAAAATTTCAGATAATTTGCTTTAGTTTAAGCCCTTTAACTATCCATTTGTTCCTAAAAAATCAGCCTTTCGCATGCTTAATTAATGCCTTTACCTAATTTGCATATTGCTACATATGCAAATTGGGCGAATGCATTAATTAAGCATGCAAATAGCTGATTTTTTTAGTAATGTTTAATAAACGAGTAGGAGTGTTTTATCACAATATAAAACACGACGCGAGCGGAGTGTTTTATATGTGATAAAACACGAACTACGAGTTTATTAAACAGCTTCAAAAACGTCTCAGTTAGATCACTGCATTGGCAAAATAATTTTCCAAAATAACTTTGTATTAGCTGAGAAAATCAAAGTTAAAGTTTATGTAAATGAAGGGAAATCTTTATCAACATATAAAGATACGACACGCTTATGATTTTTCTTTGTGTTTTCCTCATGAATTATTAATGAGTTTTTGAAGGAAAAATGTAAGTTTGCGTGAATAGTTGAAGGGCTTAAACTGAAGCAAATTGTCTGAAATTTCGTGCAGCAATTAAACACCAAAGACATTTTTCATCCATTAACTCAAAATACGATTATAGCTTTTAAATCTCGTGCGCAAGCCATTTTTAGTTTGTCGGAAAAGACACACCCCCTGGTTTACAAAATTTGAGTTCGAGAAATGTTTTTCATTATTCTACATTATAAGTACCCAAAGAAGCCATATATGTCAAAAACTGGATACTATATAATAGCTGTTTTGCGAAATTGAGAGCAATTTCAAATCTGTTCAGTTTCAGTTTTATACACCCTGTAGAACATGTATATGCAGAGTAAACTATAATAATTGTTGGTCAAACCTTTCTCAATACAGTGTTTCCATCAGGAAGGTAATATCTCTCCTTATATCGATGTGAGACCAAGTTCCTGGAAAATATTTGGAAATGTTTTCAACTTAGTACACATTGGTAATATATAGTAAGAATTTGGTAATAATGTAAATTCTAGAAGATGTTATAAGTTTATTGGTGGGCTTCATGCAGTAAGCGTACAGAAGCTTGCGATCAAAACGAAACATGTGCTACATCTCTCTCATTTACTTTATTTACCACTACATGCAAAACTATTCTGAATATGACAAAGACAAAGTGCAAACCAAAAATGTAAATCACAGAATATATTACAGAGTATGTATGGAAATTAAAACAATATAGGGAAAACTATGAAGCAAATATGGAATAAGGTGAAAATTAAAAGTGCTGTCAATGTCTGCATAGGTGTGGCCATATCTTATGGTCTCTATCACAGTGATAACTGCCAGTCCTCCCACATTGCTGCACGATATATAATAGAAAAAGTCACACCTGTTGGGTACAAGATCAAGGACCACTGTTTTTCCATTATGCACGAAAGATATACTTCTCTCAATTTTTTCATCCTGTAACATCAAAAACGATTTTTCTCTATTTTGTCATATATTTTTCATACCAACAAAACAAATTCAGAAATTAGATGACCAAATCTAAGCAACATGACGTAAAGAAAAATTAAAAATGACAACCACAACGAAATTCTATGTGCGGCCTACCAAGCCATAAAAATCAGGGTATTCATTGGCTATAGGTGAAACATCTTGAGGATAAACAATTTCGTATTTCTTCAATTGATCCAAGAGTTCTTTATCTTTTAAATTTAGATCATTGTACAGGGTACCAGGAAATTGTTTCAACTCCACTTTGTCTACAATACAAAAAATTATCTTAACTCGGTACTGCCAAAATTTAAAAGACAGGAAAATTCAGTATTATTCTATATATCGACATTACATAAAAATGTATAGTGTGGTTAATACATATAAGTTCACATAACTAGTTTTATATTTAAGTGTTCCTGTAGCCTAGTACTTTTCACCTCTGTGACTACTGCATCTATTTGATTCAATCTTTCAATAGGTAGCTTACTGATCATATTCTCACCTCAGAGAAGAGTGCAGTTCAGTTTGTCTCTTCAAGCACCACGTACGAGTACAAGAATAAACAATTCTACGTCGGACTTTCTCCTGCATGCAATATGGCTAGATCAGTAGGAGATCTGTCCCTCTAGGAGAATAGTTCGTAATTGATAGACCCACCAATTATTAGTAAAAGTACTGTCAGTGTTTTTTACTATATTAAATTTATCCCTTCGAATTCTCTTGTCAGCGTCTTAGTGATTATTTTAACTGTATTCTTGCAATTTTGCAGTGTATCGGATTTAGTCATTAATTTTGTTATATTGTGATAAAAATTAACACGTATTATATTATAGATATTTTCCCTGCATGTGTGGGTTGCCACATAAAAATGACGGAGCGCGCATGCCTTGTTTCATGACGTCGTCATGATAAAGACTACATTGCAGCGTCAGCGCCAGAGTCGTGCTACGCGCAATACAATTAGCCACCCACGGTTGGGCAAAAAATACTACCCACGGTTGGCCAAAATACTTGACCTTGATCGACTCCTTCCAAAAAGCAAATGGCTATCTGATCATTTGATCACTGAAATGGTCAAATTCAATTGCTAGTTTGAAAAACGCATTTGATAAGTATAGCATTCTATATAGCATTACTATCTAAAACGATGGGCCTTTAGCATTACTATCTAAAACGATAGACCTTTTATTTTCAAAATCCGTACCATGTTTAAATGAAGTGCAAGCCATGGGAAGAAACAGAATGACCAGCATCTACAAATAAAACATACGTAACAAATCGTAACAATCGTCCGGTGAACGAGTTAAGTCCCCTAAAATATTGCAGAAATACTTCATGAAAACGAAGGGAAGTTACCAATTTTGATTGCAATATTTAACAGTGCAGACATAACTTCACTTTCATCATTTCTCTTTTGCAAAGCTTTCGATTCGTAAAGCCTGGATCTTTTATATCAGTGTTAAATATATATGAGTAATATGACATGTTTTAGTAGACAAAAAAAAACAAAATACCAAACCCACAGTCAGTGCATCATTTTTAGTAAAATTTCTTTGAAGACTCAAATTATATATATATATATATACATATAGGCTATATAAGTAATTCGAAGGTCGCGGGTTCGAGACCCAGCCGCGGCAGACAACATCTTTCTGCTTGCGCTGGGTATGGAAGTTATATAATACACACTCTAGAACATTTTCATCTTAATATATATATATATATATATATATATATATATATATATATATATATATATCGGATTATCATGGATTTGGTATATCAACACGAAAAGTCACACAATTTTATAAACATGATGCAAAACTCTATGGTAGTTCTTAACAAAGTGAGCAAGTACCTGAAATTTTGACTGATCCAAAGGAACCATTTTTATGTATCCGATATACACGTGTGCTAAATGTTTAATGAAGATACTAATTGAATGTTCTATCTTGTATATGTTATATTATCCGTGCGAATATACATCAATATGCTTATAATAATATGCTGAATCAGTGATCCATGAGTTCAATTAAAGAAATTCAATAGAAATGACATAATTTTGGTCACAATTATATGCAACAATATGCTGCTAGGAGCAACAACAATAATATATATATATATATATATATATATATATATATATATATATATATATATATATATATATATATATATAGCATAAGTTTTTGGTTTACGAAACACAAACAGTGCTCATGCAATACCATAAAGATAGAGCGTAATATAGTTTTTCGTTTTACCACAAAACAACCACAAGAGTCTGTTTCATCCATATAAGAATCATCAGGTGGTCCACCTGATGATTCCTATACGGATGAAACAGACTGTTGTGTAATATACGAATAGGAATCATCAGGTGGACCACCTGATGATTCCCATACGGATGAAACAGACTGTTGTGGTTGTTTTGAGGTAAAACGAAAAACTATTATTATTATTATTAAAAATTTTATTTCAACACGGTAATTACATCAAAGAGAAAACATATTTACATATTTACATCCTTGTTCTTCCCGTAAGCCGAGCGTGCAATTTAATTATATCAAATATATATCAGTGATTAGAGAACAGAGATTTAACTTGATGTGTAGCCAATTTGTCTTTAAAACTTTTTAAAGATGTTTCTGTCTTAAGATCATTTGGCAAAGTGTTCCAAAGCTTTGCGCCAGAAAAAGCAAAGCTTTGTTGATAAAATTCTGTTTTGACAGATGGCAGTGACAGATTTAAATTCGCATTACGTAGCCCAAAGGATTGAGCTCCGTCATTATAGTTATAGCTCTTTCAAATAAGTTGGAGAGCATTATTGTTCAAGATTTTAAACAACATGGACATTTTAAACCGTTTCCTTCTCTCATCTAGAGTCGGCCACCCAAACTTTTCGAGCAGGTCAGTAGACATATATACATAGATTAGGAAATGAATAGATGGCTCACTCCTTTGATGTTTTTGACGCTGCCGGTACCCACGCATGTTCTTGCCAGAGTAATGGCGGCCTAGCAAGTAACTGTAGTAAAATGCATTGTTAAATTGACATCGGTGCTACTAAATCCTGTATTTTTATAATTCTGATTTATTTTTCCATTAAAACCCCTGAAAGCGGAAAAATAGTAGCACGGATGTCAATTTCACAATAATTTTATTATAGTTCTTGCTAGGCCGCCATTACTCTGGCAAGAACATGCGTGGGTGCCGGTGGCGTCAAAAACATCAAAGGAATGAGCCATCTATTCATTTCCTAATCTATGATATATATATATATATATATATATATATATATATATATATATATATATATATATATATATATATATAGTTTGATTACAGACTGCTATATTTACAGTTACCTTTGATGCCTCACGAATGTGGGACATCAAAACCATGCCAGAGCGCTCAAATGCAAGCAGTGAGCGTGCGTAAGCGGCAATGGCTCATCCTGCATGTAGAGCGCTCAATATGACCTAAAGGCCATAGAGCGATATCTAACTACAGACGGTACCGTTTCGGCCTTATGGGCCTCATCAGTGTAGTGCTGATGCTGATACATACATTACATGCAGGGTGTCTTACAAGAAACGCTATGGAAATTCGACAGCCTGTCGTGCATAACAAACGTGGCTAAACAATTCAATTTTTACATAGGTCGAAAGAGCACTAGTTATTTAACTTTTCAATGACACTCTTTTTAAATCGTAATGATGAGAATATGGTGTTTCAAAATAAAACAGGGAACTCTTCAGGTATAAAAAGTCAATTTAATAACCCAGACGTTCACCAGTTATAGGCTTCTTCAGTGGGTGAATAATGTACAACAATATTAATGCGTCTTTTATACATGCCGTCCAAATTAGAATTGTATATGATTATTTACAATAAGTAAACGAGTCTAAATTGTTTGAATTTAACACTCTACACTGATAACAACTAACTATATATATAATACTATTATTGCCCGATGCCGATCGGTAGGGATGGATTCGGTGACAAGGTTATCATGGAATCTTGAATTCTGTATAAACTGACCATAAATGACATTTATAATTTGTAAG